AATAAAACTTCTAGGTTAATGGTGAAAAGATTCTCCCCCTTGAGGGACACCCAGAGAGGTTCACAGAGTTACATGAAGAGGAGGAGAGGGAGGAGGGAGATAGAGATGGGCAGGAGGAGAAAAGGGGGACTCAAGAGGAGAGAGACAGATCTACGCAGTTCTCTGTCCCCAAAGTGTTCTCCATAGCCCAGACACCCACAGAGATTCACAGAATTGGATTGGGAAGAGACGGGGAAAGGAGGAAATAGAGGTGTTCTGAGGTAGAAAATGGAGAGTCAAAAGTGGGAGAGAGTAATCAACACACTCCTGAATAAAAATGGGAACTGAATATTGGATTCTTAAATGTCCACAATTTATATCACATACTGAAAAACAAAGATTAAAAATCTAGAGTAGAGGTTAGACTCTTAAAAATACAATATGAAAAACAAAAACAAAAAATTTTAGAAATATATATGAAGTTCGGTTTAAAAATAGGGCTTCTTTTTTTTTTGCAAGGTTATAGTGAAATGAAAATGAAAATTAAGGAGTAGTAGAGGAATAATAGAGGACTTTAAATGGAAATAAGAGAAAAAGAAAAAAGAAAAAGAAAAACAAGAAAAAAATTTTTTTCCTAATTAAAAAAATTGTAAAAATCTATGAAAATGAAAGTTAAGGAGTAATGGGGGAGTAATAGGGAATTTTAAAAGAAAAGAGAAAAAATAAAGAAAAAAAAATTTTTAATAAAAAAAAAAAAAAAGTAAAAATATATCTAGGAATTTCTCTAGCGCTGTTGTGGTCAGTGTGGGTTCGGTTCAGTTTCAGATAGCTCCTTGTTCCAGCTTACACTTCTCGGTATCTATAGGCCCCTTCCGGTGTAGTCGGTGTTATCTACAGGGATTTTAATCTGTTGCACCCGGTCCCTTCTGAAGCAGTTCCCTTTCTTTATTTGGCTTCTGTTTGCCTGTCTCTTCAGTGCCTAATTTCCGCCCTGACACAGGCGGATGGAGGTGGTCTCTTGTTCAGGTTGCTAGTTCCGTCGCGCTGTGGGGGAGGGACGGGCACTGCTTTCCCCGTCTATGCTGCTCAGGCTCCCGGCTGCTCTATATGGAGCGTGCCCTGCGCTGCCCGTGGTTCCAGCCCTCTGGTGTTCCACAAAAGCACGGACTCGGCTGCGCCTGCGTTTTGTGACTTCCCCGGCCGGAGCAGCCCAGGCAGCCAGGAGCTTGATGGGCACACTCTCCCCGGGTGCGGTGCGCCTTCTCCCCTCCACGTTCTCAGCCCCAGTCCCCGCCCGCACCAGTCAGGTGCGTGTGCCCTGTGTCTCGCCGCGACCCTCCGGGCGGATGTCGCCCATCCAGAATCTCAGGAAGTCTTTGGTTAGAAACTGGAGGCCTGTTTGCAGTGTGGTAGGGGATGCCGTCCTTGGGGCAGAGCCTGCCCCTTTCCCCTCCCCCCTGCCTCCTGCCTCCGGCGGGGCTGGGCCGGTCCGCAGCCTGCGAGCTCTTCTCTGGACTTGCTCAGACCCTTTGTTCTGCGACGGCCGGCAGTGTGTTTGGGCCGGTTAATTTTCTCTCTGTTGCTGTCCCACAGTTTAAGTTGCTATCTCACAAAAGTTCCCTCCGATTGCCCTCAGGGCACTCAGGCCCGGTTCTTACCCTAAGCAATGCCTCCCGCTCCTCTCCGTTCTGCCCCCACTTGCTGGTGGCGGATGCGGGCGTCTGGGGTACTTTTCTGCTGGGAGTTGCTTTTAGGCACGTAATCTCTGGGTTTTATTTGTTCTTTCCCTCCCAGTTAGGTTGCCCTCCGAGATTCAAAAACTTCCCCCAGACCCACCAGTGCGAGGGTTTCCTGGTGTTTGGAAACTTCCTCTATTAAGACTCCTTTCCTGGGACGGGTCTCTGTCCCTAGCTCTTTGTCTCTCTTTTTATCTTTTATATTTTGTCCTACCTCCTTTCAAAGACAATGGGCTGCTTTTCTGGGCACCTGATGACCTCAGCTAGCGATCAGAGTTGTTTTGTGAAGTTTGCTCTGCGTTCAGTTTTCTTTCGATGAATTTGTAGGGGAGAAAGTGGTCTCCCCGTCCTAGTCCTCCGCCATCTTGGCTCCTCCCGGTAGCTCTGATTTTCTTGAAGAGATCTCTAGTCTTTCCCATTCTGTTGTTTTGCTCTATTTCTTTGCATTGATCACTGAGGAAGGCTGACTTATCTCTCCTTGCTATTCTTTGGAACTCTGCATTCAAAGAAGTATATCTTCACTTTTCTCCTCTGCCTTTCGCGTCTCTTCTTTTCTGCTATTTGTAAGGCCTCATCAGACAACCATTTTGCCTTTTTACGCTTCTTTTTCTTGGGTATGGTCTTGATCCCTGCCTCCTGTACAATGTCACGAACCTCAGTCAATAGTTCTTCAGGCACTCTATCAGATCTAATTTCTTGAATCTGTCACTTACACTGTATAATCATAAGGGATTTGATTTAGCTCATACCTGATTGGTCTAGTGGTTTTCCCTACTTTCTTCAATTTAAGTCTGAATTTGGCAATAAGTTCATGATCTGAGCCATAGTCAGCTCCTGGTCTTGTTTTTGCTGACTGTATAGAGCTTCTCCATCTTTGGCTGCAAAGAATATAATCAATCTGATTTTGTTACTGACCGTCTGGTGATGTCCATGTGTAGAGTCTTCTCTTGTGTTGTTGGAAGAGGGTGTTTGACCAGTGCAGTTCTCTTGGGAAAACTCTGTTAGCCTTTGCCCTGCTTCATTTTTTACTCCAAGGCCAAATCTACCTGTTACTCCAAGTATCTCTTGACTTCCTACTTTTGCATTCCAGTCCCCTGTAATGAAGCGAACATCTTTTTTGGATGTTAGTTCTAGAAGGTAGGTCTTGTAGGTCTGGTAGGTCTTCATGGAACTGTTCAACTTAAGTTTCTTCAGCATTACTGATTGGGGCATAGACTTGGATTACTGTGATATTGAATGGTTTGCCTTGGAAATGAACAGCGATTATTCTTTCATTCTTGAGATTGCACCCAAGTACTGCATTTTGGACTCTTTTGTTAATTATTGTGTTAATTATTGGGGTTGCAAAGAGTCGGACATGAGTGAGCAACTAAATTGAGTGTTAATTATATTTATCATGTTTTATATTATACACCTAGTATTTATTTATCTTATAACTTGAAGTATGTGCTTTCTGACTGCCTATTGCCAGTCCCACATACCCCACTTCCTGCTTCTGGTAATCAAAATCTGATCTCTTTTTCTATGAGCTTTTTTGTTTGATTTTTAAATATATTAACTTACAACACTATTTTAGTTCCTGGTACACAACATATAGTGATTTATATTTCTATAATTTTGAAATGATCACCACAATGAGTCTAGCTCCCATCTGTCACCAGGCAAATATACTAGATAATTAATGACTAAGACCTAGGAGTCTTAAAAAGACTCAGTATCTCCAGAAATTCTGATTTAGCTTGTTTAGAGTGTAACTTGGCTATCAGGATTTTTGAAAGTTCTGGTGATCCAAAGTGCAGCCAAACTTGGATACACTAACCTACACCAATTTTTTCTTTTGAGGCTGTACGTAATTCTAAGGCATGGGAAATCAGTGCTTTTTCTTGGGTCTTTATGTTTGATTCTGAGATTGTATTTCATCCAAGGCATCTGTGGTTTATTGGACTTGGGGTGAAGAATGAGAAAATAGTAACATGTTTATATTTTAAGTATGTGTTTGTGTCTGTGTTCAGCTGCTCCTTTGAATGGGGGAAGTAATTAAAATTTACATAATGACTGGTTTTAAGACCATGGTGGAGAGACAGTATTGTTTGTGTGTTTTCAAGTGTCTATTTTGTCTCTCAGTTTTTCTCTATGCAGTTCAAGATGGCTTTTGTTCTCAACAGATTTCTGTGGTCATTTTTGTTAAAATATTTATCAAAAACCAGAGGGTCATGAACTTTGGCAGACATCTCTAGTCTTTTACATGGCCACTTCCTTTCCCCTTATAATGCTGTCTTAACTCATCCCTCTGAGAAAATAACCAAGAATATTTACTTTGAAAGTTGTGTTTTTATGATCATCTGGTTAATGTTTTAATATTGCTTTTCCCCCTCTGTTCTAGTGACAAGTACAGGAGACATAAAGCACTTTAAAGTTTTCTCTAGTTCTAGACCATGATTAGATTTGGGGAAAATAAGTTGAAAAATAGCAATTTTAGGAAAAGTGCTTATTATGTAGCACTGTGCAGCATTTGGGGTTTTAAAGGCCATTATTGATATGTCTTTTTTGTTATCTTTCCTATAAATTTATAGCTGTATACTTTGAGCAAGACATTAAGAGGTATTACATTTTCATAGATTATTTACAATATAGATTGCATAGACTTTTTATAATGCGTATTGTTGGAGTTTGGTGAACAGTTAAGGCAAATGATTAGTACTTTGAAAACCTTGATGTTATGGTGATTCAAAGCGAAGGGAGAAAGAAATCTGAAGCAGTCCTCCTGGTCTGGTTTCTCTGGGGAGGGTACTGAAGGGCTGTCCCAGCTCCACGGCACCCATGAGATCGGCTGAGGCACTCAGCTGCAGTTCAGCTTTCCCTTCTGCCCGGTCCTGCCTCCTTCATCCTGAGAATGTTCTAGAACTGCCCCCAACCCCAGACTTTAAACAGAAATCTCAGGTTCAGAGTCTGTTTCCCAGGTGGAAATCCTTCTGGAGGCAGGGGGGCTGGAGCCTGGCACCAACATCCTCACCTGCCACTGACAGGAAGGGAGTGAGGCCAGCGCCCAGGGCAGTTCCTGGAGGCCAGCGCAGCCGGGGGCAGTCCAGAGCTTACCCTGAGGCAGCTGGAGGGGCGAGTGGTCCGTTCTGAAGGGAGAGAGGATCTGGGCAGTGCACCCCCGCTCCTGGACATAAGTGAAACACGAAGTGGGGAATATATGGGGAAAGGGAAATGAGAAAAAAATCCCTGCTGTTTTATAATTTGTTTTTTTTTTTTTTTTTGCTGTCATATTTAATCCTTCAGAATTCTTCTCCTGCTGTTGACTTCAGGACGATGAACCAAGCACATTACACCAGTTTAATAAATGATGAAACCATAGCAGTTTGGAGACAAAAGCTCTCAGAACACGACAATGCAAATACAATCAAGTATGTGGTTGCTTGTTTTCAGTTTTTTTTAAAGTGTATTGGAATTTCCAACTTAGTGATTTTTCCCTACTTCCATCTTGAGGTTGTGACTATAAATGGGGTTTGCATTTGAGGGGTCATTTTTTGGGCACACATCTGGTGCCCTTAGCCTGAAATAACATAGTAATTTGTTCCCCCATTTTCTCACAAGGTGTATTCCTCAACCTGCTTTGTTTAGACCTTAAAAATCCTAACTGATGAAGACCTGAGTTGGCCTTTCTGCTAAGAAAGCTCAGTGTTATGGTTGTTTAACTCCAAGAGTTTTCTTCATATGCTTATTCCAAAGTATTCCAATCTAAGCTTATTTTACCTAATCAGAATAATTTAGCATTTTCCTATTCAAAATGATTAGTTGAGATAGAGAAAAAAGTATAGTTAAAGGATTTGAGTCCTTTCAGCAGGTGTATTTCATTCTTAAGAGAGTTTTTTTTTTTTTTTTTTTTTTTTTTAATTTTTATATTTTTACATATTGTATTGGCTTTCCTCAGTTTTTCCATTTTTCAACAGAATCTGATTCTTAGGAATGAATGAATCAGATTGTGTACTAGGTGATAGTTGTTTCCAGATATGTGTATAAAGCATTTTACTTTGTGATATAGATTGTAGAGTGCAAATTCCCTGAGCCCTTTGGACACACCAGCTTTTTGAGTCAGGGATCATTGGGAATGCCCTAGAGCACTTCTGTGACAGTCCTCAGAAGCCCTCTAAGCTTGGTGACTCTGCCAGGGAGTTCAGTCTGGAAGGGGCAGGGAACAGGCTGGGGGACTAGACTCACCGGGAGGGTAGTGGGGTAGGGGCACTGAGACTCCCTTGGCTGGGACTTTGACACCTTACTAGTTCTCAGTTTTCTTATTGACAAGCGATAGGATATAAGCAATGATCTCCAAAGATCCTTCCTGACCTGGATCCTATGATTAACAGAAGTTACTGTGATTCCCTCCTCAACTGTATATTTGTTTTGTTCCTTCCCTTTCCCTTATATTAAATAAGAGGGTTCAAGCTTCCTAACATCTATTATCACTGTGGGTCCTCAGAAACTAGCAGTTTTGCCCCCGAAAATCTAGGTAATAGGAATAAAAGCTTCACTCATTTGTACTTTCTGAGATGGGCAACAAAACAGAAGGAAGTATTTGTTCAGTTATTAATTTGCAGAGATACTTTCTGTGTTGGTAAATAACAGCTCAGCTTATCTTTTTTGGTTTTATTTTGGGTTCGTGTTTGGAGGTGAGGGGGGGAGTGTCTTAGAGACGGTTGGTGGAAGGAAAGTCCAAGGTCATTATTATTAGGCCCTAGAGTTTTCTTTTGGTAGCTTTGATACTCTTTAATGTAAGTTCTTGTCCGTTTTGAGACAGGACACAGTGTTTTCCAAGGCTTTACCTTGGTAAGAAGGAGCAGCTATTAAGGAAACTGGAATAGAGGAGTAATCTATTGCTGATGCTTAAATAACCATTTATTTATAATTATTAAAGACTTCTTCCCCGTTTTTCTTTCTGAGCAGTGGTGTTGTTCAGATATTATCTTCTGCAGCCTGTTGGAATGGAAGTTTTCTTGAGAAAAAGTAAGTGCCTTAATCTTAAAATACCCACATGTGATGCAGGTGCTTACTTAGCAAAGGCTGAGAAAGACTTGTGCTCTCTTTGGTGGTGGTTGGCCGTAACTCAGTGGGTAAGCGTATGATCTGCACAGAAATGGAAGTGCCTAATGATGCTGAGTGAGAGGACATGGGAAGGGCAGTGCTGACTCGTGCCTAGTTGGCAGAGAAGCAGATTACCAAGAGATAGCCAGTATCTCGTAAAGGGTTGGTGTAATCAAAAGTAAGATTTTTCAGGCTATTCCAAAATGTTAATAATATTTATTCTTAAATTCTTTCTTCTAAAAAAAAACATTTTATTGAAGTATAGTTGACTTTGCAGTGTTTCAGGTACACAGCAAGGTGATTCAGTTATACAGATACACATATATTATTTTTGAAACTATTTTCCATCATGGTTATTAAAAGATATTGACTGTAGTTCCCTATGGTAATCAGTAGACCTTTCTTGCTTGTTGCAGATCTATTTTTTAATTAGAAATCTAACATTCTGTTCATACTAAGTCAAACAAATCAAATCAAAATGTCAAAATTTTTTTAGTTAGGCAAGAATTCATAAGTTTTCTAAAATATATACATATTTATATGTATATGTATACAAAAGCTCTTCTACTATACTTAATAAGGGCTCGAGAAAGAACATTAAAAAAAAAGAGAAGAGATGGAGAAGTTGGAGAACATAAACTAAATGAAATGGGAGCACTGAATATATAATAGAAAAAGTGAAACAAACTAGATAAAAGTAAAAAGATCATCATATAGTCCAGTTGTTTATAAACATGACTGCTCATTAGAAACATCTGGAGATCTGGACAAAAAAGCGATACCTGAGCATTTGTAGTTTTCAAAAAATTTCAAGCTAGTTTCTGATGTGCCTCTGGATTTTAAAAAGTGATTACAGGTTTTTCTATTAGATCCTAGTTTTGCTGATATAGAGTTCTGTTATTTTTCTGTTGACCAGTCATAATACAATGGTATTAAGTGAGTGATAGTTACATAGCCACAATAGTAAAAGATGTTTTATCAGTTTTCACAATTAGTAGCCAAACAAAAATAAAAGCTAATTACAATTGCAAGCCATAATGGGAGCATGATTAATTTAACAATATAAATAATTACAATTTGAGGGGGTTATCAAGCAGAGTGATGTGGTAGGTGAAAGTGCATACATGCACTTGTTTCCATCTGCTCAGCTAGTGTATGTCTTTTAGTTGGTGCTTTTAATCTGTTTACATTTAAGGTAATTATTGATATGTATGATCCTATTACCATTTTTAAAATTATTTTGGATTTATTTTCTGTAGGTCTTTTCCTTCTTTTGTGTTTTCTGCCTAGAGAAGTTCCTTTAACATTTGTTGTAAAGCTGGTTTGCTGATGCTGAATTCTCTTAACTTTTGCCTGTCTGAAAGCTTTTGATTTATCTATCAAATCTGAAGGAGAGTCTTATGGGGTAGAGTATTCTTGGTTGAGGTTCTTCCCTTTTATCACTTTAAATATATCATGCCATTCCCTTCTGGCTTGTAGAGTTTCAAATCAGCAGATAGCCTGATGGGAGTTCTCTTATATGTTACTTGTCATTTTTCCTTTGTTGCTTTTAATGTTTTATCTCTGGTCTTTAATTTTTGTCAGTTTGATTACCATGTGTCTTGATGTGCTCCTCCTTGGGTTTATCCTGCCTGGGACTCTGTGCTTTCTGAACTTGGTTGACTATTTCCTTTCCCATGTTTGGGAAGTTTTTAGCTATTATCTCTTCAAATATTTTCTCAGGTCCTTTCTCTACTCATTATGGGACTCCTATAATGCAAATGTTGGTGTGTTTAATGTTCCAAATATCTCTTAGGCTGTCCTCACTTCTTTTCATTCATTTTGTCTATATTCTGTTCTGTGGCAATGATTTCTACCATTCTGTCCTACAGGTCATTTATTATTCTGCTTCATTATTCTGCTGCTGATTCCTTCTAGTGTATTCTGCTGCTGATTCCTTCTAGTGTATTATTCATCTCTCTTTCTTTGTTCTTTAGTTCTTGTAGGTCTTTGGTAAACATTTCTTACATCTTCTCAATCTTTGCCTCCATTCTTTTCCCAAGATCCTGGATCACATTCACTATCGTTATTCTGAATTCTTTTTCTGGAAGATTGTCTATCTCCACTTCATTTAGTTGTTTTTCTGAGATTTTACTTTGTCCCTTCATCTGGGATATAACTTTGTGCTCTTTCACGGTGATTAGATTTCTGTGACGTGGTTTTTGTTTTAGCTGCTGTGAGACTGTGCTGCTTCTGTCTGCCCTCTGATGGATGAGGCTAAGAGGCTTATGTAAGCTTCTTGATGGTAGGGGCTTGTGGTGGGAAAAACTGGGTCTTGCTCTGGTGGTCAGGACCTTGCTCAGTAAAGATTTAATCCAATTATCTGCTGATGGGTAGGGTTGCACTCCCATCCTTGTAGTTTTTTGGCCTGAGGCAACTTATTCCGGGGTATAAGGGCTATATGGTAGGGTTAATGGTGAACTCCATGAGGATTTACACCAAGGGGGACCTTCCAGTGCCCTTGTCCCTGTGGTGAGCCCCTGCTGACCCACGCCTCCGCAGGAGGCCCTCCACCACTAGCAGGTGGTTTTGGTTCAGTCTCCGGTGGAGTCACTGCTCCTCTCCTCTGGGTCATGGAGGGCACAAGTTTTGTTTGTGCCCTCCAAGACCAGAGTGTGTTTCCCTCAGTCCCCTGGAAGGCCTATAATCAAATCCTACTGGCCCTCAAGGCCATATTCCATGGGGATTCCTAGTCCCTTTTTCAGATCTCCAGTCTGGGAAGCCTAACATGGGGTTCAGAACCTTTACAATAGTGTGAGACTTTCTTTTTTATTGTTGTTCTCCAGTCTGTGGGTCACCACCTGGCAGGTATGAAATTTGATTTTATCATGATTGCATCGCCACCTACCATCTTGCTGTGGCAGCTTCTTTGTCTTTGGATATGGGATATCTTTTTTTTGGTGAGTTCCAGCATCCTCCTGTTGATGGTTGTTCAACAGCTAGTTGAAATTTTGGTGATCTCGCAGGAGGAGATGAGTGCACGTCCTTCTACTCTGCCATCTTGAACTGGAAGCAGACAATTCTGTTCTTAAATTCTTATTTCTTTAAATAATCTCCATGTTTCTTTGACTTCTTTCCCATGGTTTTTTCTTTTCTCAAAAAGAATGAATTTAGGGAAGGTTCCAAGAAGGCTCCAGGGACTCCTTGGACTCAGGGCCAGCCCAGCCCACCAGAAAATTGCATTTGGCTTAAACTTAAACTTGTAAATAGTGTTTTCTTGCTAGGCCTTATCCCATCTGCAGATATTGTGGCCACAGAAGGGTCTTGTCATGGGTTTTGATCTTTGGTGATCCCAAGTCCTGACCTTCCCACCATCCTTTTCTGTCCATGGCAAGGCTAATGAAATCCCATGAAGACTCAGACTTCAGTTCTGTGTGTCAGTTGCACACCCCCCCACCCCACCCCCAATTCTGTCCCTAACTGGGTTGTACCAGGTTGCTTCAGGAACTCTGTTCAGTTACAGATAAAGATTGCAAAGTCATTTGTATCATTAGGGCAACTGAAATGAGCTCATCCAACTAATTTCAGAATCAATACTTAGCCTTTTCCTCCAGGGAAAAAATTTTGTGTTGATGTTGGTCTTTTAGACCAGTGATTCTCAACCAGGCTGATTTGTTTCCCAGGGGACATTCAGCATTGTCTCTTGACATGTTTTGGTTGTTACTGTGGTGGAGAGTATACTACTGGAATCTGGTGGGCAAAGGCCAGCGGTGCTGCTAAGTATCTCACAATCCCACCCACCCAACAAAGAATTACCTTACAACCCCAAAAGTCAGCAATCCCAAGGTTGAGAGACCTTATTCTAGAAGGACAATTTTTATGAAAGTTGGGAATGGCTCTTGTTAGATTATCCAGCCTTAATTTGTTAGTTTCTCAGTGGTATCATGTCTGACTCTTTGTGACTTTATGGACTATAGCCTGCCAGGCTCCTCTGTCCATGAGATTTTCCAGGCAAGAATACTGGAGTGGGTTGCCATTTCCTTCTCCAGGGGATCTTTCCCACCCAGGGATCGAACCCACATCTCCTATGTCTCCTGAATTGGTGGGTAGATTGTTTACCACTGAGCCACCTGGGAATTCCCAAAGACCAGTTTAACAAAGCATAAATACATGTAGATAAAGTCTTTTGATTTTTCTTAGCAGCATAGCAGAAGATACTTCTAAGCATATGGAAGACTGCATATGGGATAGCAAAAACAATTTCTATGTTTTGGGCAAATTTATTTTTAGAACAACAGCGCAAAAGATTCAACAAACAGAGAAAGCCCAAGTAACTCTTCTTGATTGACCATTTAGGTTCCAATGCATATAATTATATAATTAAATTTTCTTCACGTTAGGAACTCTGCTTACATTTTTATAAATTGTAATATTGCCATCAGATGATATTAAAGCTATCTGAATATGTTTGTTACACATAAGCAGAAGTCTGTTTTGCAAATAGCTCTTTTGTAGTTAGTAGATGTGGTATGTTTAAGAGTGGAAATTTAAGAGACATTCTTTAAGTCTCTAAAAGGCTGAGAGTTTGTTTAAAACAGAAAAATGATTAGTTGTTAGGAAGTTAAAGACAGTTGTTGTTCAGTCATGTTTGACTTTTTGCGACCCCATGGCCTGCAGCATGTCAGGCTGCCCTGTTCTTCACCATCTCCCAGAACTTGCTCACACTCATGTCCATTGAATTGGTGATGCCATCCAACCATCTTGTCCTCTGTCGTCCGCTTCTCCTCCCTCCGTCAATCTTTCCCAGTATCAGGGTCTTTCCCGATGAGTTGGCTCTTCTCATCAGGTGGCCAAAATATTGGAGCTTCAGCATCAGTCCAAGGACTATTCAGGATAAAATTAGTCCTGGAGTGAAAGTAATTGTATCCCTTATGTTAACTGAGTAATACACTAACTTTGCATTTATTATAGATCCGATATTTAAAAAAAAAAACAACTTGCTTTAAACTTGGTATTTGTTGATGACTGGGCCACATTGCACAAGGGATGTTTTTTGTACCTAGGCACAGCATCTGCCTTTGGTTCAGTGTACCACAATGACAGAAAGAGGCAAAAATACAAGAGTTAATCAGAAAAATAACATTCTGCCTATAAATTGCAAGAGAGTCTCACAGTTAGATGATGATCCTAATACTTCAGTGACTTAAATTGTAAGATCATCTTGAAAAAGGGATTCAGAGAGATTTATTCTGTTGGGTTTCCCCAAAGTCAATGTTTTCGTGCATCTTGTCTGCCAGGAGAAATTTAAATTGGATCAGTATGTGCAAACTATATGTTGACCTCTTTATAATTCATCCCTATCAGAGTCTTTGCTTTGTTTTTCTTTTATTACATGGTTTTTTTTTTCTTTCTGTTTAGAATTGATGAGCATTTTAAAACAAGTCCCAAAATCCCTGGAATTGATCTGAACTCAACTAGAGTGTTATTTGAGAAGTTGATGAACTCTCAGCACTCCATGATTCTAGAACAGGTATTTTTTTACTTCTATAAAGTACATGCTTAAAATTCATTTTTGCATTGAAATAAGTCAACTTTCAAGAGGGAAAAAAAAAGAGTAAGATGAAAAGGCAAAAGCCTTGTATAAATGTTAACTCTGTAAAATACTCACATCAGGAATTTGTCCTAACTTTAACTTTTCCATTTAGCTTAAATTTTTCTAAGGAAATCCCCACCGCCCAGAGTATAAGATTGGCAAGGGCAGGGACCTTTGGCTTTTCTTTTCACTGATGTATCCTGATTGTCCAGACTGGTACCTGGCTCATAGATGGCCCTGAGCGCATACTGAATGAATAAGAGTTGGGAGTCTGTCAGATAATTTATGAGTTCAGAGATCAGGTAACGAGATTTGAGTTTCTCATTACTTTTTTCTCTCATACAGATCTTAAATAGCTTTGAAAGTTGCCTGATTCCTCAGTTATCGAGTTCACCACCAGATGTTGAAGCGATGAGAATCTACTTAATACTCCCAGAGTTTCCCCTGCTCCAGGATTCCAAGTATTATATAACGTTGACTATCCCCCTGGCTATGGCCATTTTGCGGCTGGATACAAACCCCAGCAAAGTCTTAGGTGAATTTGCTGCACAGTACTGGAAGCTTCTGCTTTATATTTTATTGGTGTGACCATTGGCTCTTGTTGGATTGAGATCCACGATTTGTTATCATTTAATATGCTTAACACTTAAACTTTTCTTTCTTTGCTGTTAATTTCTAATTTCAAGGCATATTTTCAGTTTAAACAAATTGAACACTTATTTAGGTTATTTGAAACAGTTTACACCAGACTTATCTTGATTTTTAAATATTCACAAAGTTAGATTATTTGACTTTATTTTTTTTCCTCCTATGCTTGCTAGTGGTTAATAGTGTCTCACGTGTTAGTGTCCATCTGTTGTTCTTTCTCTTATAATTAATTTAGGGGGTGGGAGTGAAATGAACGTTGTGGTGTGATACACAGGTCTCCAGAAAAGGAGAGGAAGAAAATGACCTAGTGGAGACTTACCAAATGTTTGTTTTGTTTTTCTTTTTTAGGACAGTTGAGTCCACACTGATTTTTGCAGGCTACGGACACTTTGCTGAGATAAGAACCTTCCGTTCCTCAGTGAATTGGAGAGTGTCTCTCATGGGAGTAGCGCCTGAGATGTTTTTATTAATCAAATGCAGAAAATCTGTCACCTGGCCTTTTCTTTTCATTTATTTTTTTCTCCTGGTAATTTTTTTTAGGTGTTCACTGCAGCTAAGTCACTTCCGTGTTCCATGTGCACTAGGCTGTTACTTGAGTGTGGTCTCCCCACGAGTAGAGACCTGTATCGCTCAGGATGGAATACTGTCTTTTCCGTATTTCTCCCATCTTTGCAGAAGATATAAACACAGAAATAATCATGAATGTGTTAGTCCTTAATTTTTTTTTAAGCTCACAAGCTCTTTGGGGTGTATTTTCTCAGGTATTCTAGTAGACTGTAAGATAGAGATGGCAATCTCTGAAGGAATATTACCTGACTTTTAAGTTTTTTTTTTAATTATTTTTTTATTTTTATTATTTTAATTTTCCCAGAGAGAATAGCACAAAAAGAACAGAATAGTTCAGTTTTACACTTAATTTGTTTTTAAATTCTAATCATAGAAATTGAAAAGAATACTTCAAAGAAGAGAGAACACTGCAAGTAACCACATCACACAAATTCACGATGATCAATATTTTGCCCTTTTAGTTTTCTTCATTCTCCCTACCACTACCTTGTAATCTTTTTTGGAATACACTTGAAAAATCTTGGACATTATATTACTTCATCCTATAAGTATGTCAGTGTGACTGAGTTTGTTTCTGACAAAGTAAAAACCAGTGGTATAGTCTTCTTGTCTGGTCATGAGAAAGTATTGTTTGTTAAGAAACAGAAATATGTAGTTTTTCAACTAATGATGCCTCTTGAAAGGAAGGACCAGTTGCCATATTGTTGCTGCATCTGGGGTGTGTGGTCCTCTGCATCCCTGGTACAGGACTTAGGTGGTGGCTGAGAAGGGGGCTGAAAGGACTAGGATATGTGGATGCTCCTGCCCAAAGTATATGCCTGAGCATCTTGACCACATGTGTCCTTGAGACTGAAATTTTAGATTAGCCTTCTGGTTGAGTCTTTGAGGGAAACAATCACATGAAGCTTTATAAAAAAACTCCAGGGTTCTCCTGCAGCCACCCCTCTCTCCAGAAATGCCTTAATGGATTCTTTTTAAAGTCAGTTTTGGGAAACTGTTTTAGACTAATGCTTATCTTCTAGCTGGAGCAGTTTTTAGTTAGTAGACAGAAGACATAAATACTTGATGAAGATCACATGTTGAAATATATCTCTCTTTTTCTTTTCTAAAGATAACTGGTGGTCTCAGGTATGCCCAAAATACTTCACGAAACTGGTAAACCTCTATAAAGGTGCAGTCGTTTATCTGCTGAGAGGAAGAAAGACATTCTTAATCCCTGTACTGTTTAACAATTATATCACAGCAGCTCTCAAGCTCTTGGAGAAGTTATACAAGGTAAGCATAGAGAAGACCCAGAGGGGAGAGGGGTGGAAAGATAGTAGGATAAAATGATCTACCCGCATGTTCAGTGGGAAGCCATTTTCCAGGCATCTGGGTCTTAGCTGTCCTTGTTTTGTTCTTCATCAGGTGAATCTTAAAGTGAAACATGTGGAATATGATACATTTTACATTCCTGAGATTTCCAGTCTAGTGGACATTCAGGAAGACTACCTCATGTGGTTCTTGCATCAAGCAGGCATGGTAAGAATTCATGTGAAGCGTATCTTAAAGCTTTAATCTTTTCTCAGAGCACAAGGACAAAAAGAAAAAAATCTGAGCTCTATAATTTGTCCTTGACTTGGATGTTAATGTCACACCTGTGCTTTGTTGACTGGCTTTTGCATTCTTAAAACACTGAAGTACTTTGAGTAATCATAAGTACTCATAAGCAGTCACAAATGGGTAGTCACCCAAATGGCATAATTTTAATTAGTTGCCAACATTAAAAAAAACAAGGTATCTCAAGTAGTTAAACTTATAGAAACATAAAGTAGAAAAGTGGTTGCCAGGGTCTAGTGAGAAATTGGAGAGTTTTTTTTTTAATGGGTTTAGACTTAAAAAACAAAATGAAGTATAGTTGATTTACAATATTGTATTAGTTTCAGGTACACAGCAAAGTGATTCATCTTTCTTATCTATAACTTTATGTTCCTTTTCAGATTCTTTTCCCTTATAGAGCATTACAAAATATTGAGTATAGTTCCCTGTGCTATTACAGTAGGTCCTTGTTGTCTGTTTTGTATATAGTGGTGTGTACATGTTAATCTCAAACTCCTAATTTATCCTTCCCCCACCATGCCCCTTTGGTAACCGTGAATTTGTTTTCTAAGTCTGTGAGTGTGTGTTATAAATATGTTCATTTGTATCAATTTTTAGATTCCACATGTAAGTGAAATCACATGATATTTGTCTTTTTCTGTGTGGCTTACTTAGTATAATAATCTCTAGGACTTTCAGTTTTGCAGGATGAAAAAATTCTGGAGATTCATTGCACAGTAATGGAAATGTATTTGAGACTAATGAATCTAACACGGCAAAGGTGGTGAACTTTGTGTCTTTTACCACAATTTTAAAAAGTCAAGGAACATAAAATGAATTTCTGGCTTTTCTTGAGACCGGGAAGACCTGGCGGCATGACCTGTCTCCCAGATGGTGCCAGCTGGCTGGAGATCAGCAGGGGCTCTTTAGATGTGGCTTATACATGCCAGAGTCCCCACTGCAGTTTGATTTTGACATTGAGGGAAGGATCATTTGCTGTTATCTTCATCTAACAACTAGTCAGCTTGAGTCACTTATGTCAGCTGCCTGAACCCTACAGGATGCCTTGTTTGGGATTATGTGTGTGAAAATGTCACATATCCCTGACCTAGTTCTCAAGTATATTACATATGATATATGTATATATAGGTGGTTTGTATATACAGGTGGTTTGCCTGCCACCCTTGAGTTGGCTCTACAGTTTGTAGACTGGCTTGGAATATATGCAAGGCTTTTTAGGATCCGTGGATTATGTGTAAATTTGAGTGATGTCAGAAAACAGAGTGATGATAGTATGGTTATTTAGTGAAGCCATGCAGAGCAGACACGTTTGAGATGAGTCCTTGCCAGTTGAACAGTTTCAGCACTGACATTTAGGCAGTGTTTTCCTGTACCCTGCAGGGAGTTTGGAGGTCAGTTGTAGTTTAGTCACTAAGTTGTGTCCAACTCTTTTTGACACCGTGGACTGTAGCCCACTACGCTCCTCTGTCCATGGGATTTCCCAGGCAAAAATACTGGAGTGGGTTGCATTTCCTTCTCGGGGGGATCTTCCATTACCCAGGGATTGAATCTGAGTCTCCTACATTGGCAGGTGGATTCTTACCACTGAACTACCAGGGAAGTCCTTTGGAGGTCAGTAGTGGTTTCCAAAAGCAAGTCATTTAAATAGGTTTCTTTAAGGAAGATTTTTTTCTTCTCAAATACCAGATGGTGAATGCTGGAGACTATTGAGTTTTTTAATAAGGGCTTTGATTACCCTAAAAAACCAAAATACTTTTCAAAAAAGTGGATAAATCTTCTAAATGGGTTTACATAGGAAATTTAACATGGAAGCTAGCAATGAACTCTATTTTCATCTGCTAATTTAGAAGTTGTGAGAAGACAAACTTCTGTTTTATGAATTCATGAATAAATATTCATTGACTCATAAAATGTTAAGAGCTGAAGTAAGACTTATGAATTATTTAGCAAGCTGCTTTGTTTCTAGGTGAGAAATTGGAGTCTCAGAGAAGCTAAACAGTTTTTCCACCAACTCAGCTTAAAAGCCAGTTGTTCTGACTTCTAATCTACTCTTTCTGTGACTTGCTACTGAATTCTAATGGGCTCTAATTTACTTTGACCCTAAAAAAGAAGTTGTTGGTGTTAAAAATATAGGTTATCATGACTGTGGTCTCTGAATGGAGTACTTAAGTGAGCAACTTTTATAACTTTTTTTATTGTTCCTTTCTCTTAATATTTGATAAACAGATATAAGCCTTAAATACCAGCTGCTCATCTCCTCTTCAATAATTAAGATTATTACAGAAAAATACAAAATTGGATAAAATAACTTGACCTTTTGTGATTTTTGTGGAATTTTTTTGTTATATAATACTATTAGAAATTAAAGTTTTAAATTTCTTGATATCTTGGATTTTAACCTAAAATGCTAAAGCTCTTTCATGTATTTATGTTTTTAAAATTTTTTTGAAGTATAATTGACAGGTCACATTATTTCAAGTGTATACCATAATGACTTGATATTTATACAGACTGAAATTGTCACTGTAAGTCTAATTACTGTCTGTTACCACACATAGTTGCAAATTTTTTTCTTAGATAACTTTTAAGAATTTCTCTCTTAGCAACTTTAGCAACTAAAATATGCAGTATTGTTTTACTATCTGTAGTCACCATGCTGTGCATTATATTACTGTGACCTATTTGTTTTATGGCTGAACGTCTGTACCTTTGACCCTCTTCACCCCATTTTGCCCACCCCCCATCCCTTCTTCCCTCTGGCAGTCACCTAACCTGTGTCTTATCTATGAGTTTGTTGTGGTTGTGCTTGTTTATAGATTCCAGGCAAATCTTGGAATATATTCACTTCCAAATGTAAGTGGAATTGTTTAGTGCCTGTCTTCGTCTGACTCACTGCAGGGTCCATCCAAGTTGTTGGAAATGGCAAGGTTCCACTCTTTCTGTCTGAGTGGTACTGTTAGTGCACTCAGTAAAGCCAGTTTCTGACACCAGGTTGTGCGAAGGGAAATACAGCATTTATTGCAGACTGCCAGGCAAGGCGCCCAGGGCAGCTAGTGTTCAAAACACCTGAGCTCCCCAGTGGGCTTCAGGAAAGCATTGTAGTGGCCACAGGAGGGAAGGGGGTTGCAGGGTGTGTAGTCCGCCCATGCACATATCTGGCTGATGGTGAGGTAAGAGGGCAGTGTCATGGTCAGTCCTCGGGCTCCAGGACGTCTGGGGGCTGTGTGGTCATGGTCATCAGGGAGTAGTTTCTTGCATTTGGTGGGGAGTTTAGTGTCTGCTGCACAGCTCAGGAAATGTGCTCCAGGTACCGTTACCTAGGTACTTCAGAAAGGAGCTGAAACAGAGGATGCTAGGAGGGGTCTGTTCTAGAAAGGCCCCGTACCGTCATACACTCATTACATGAGTAATACTGTGTATGTCTCATCTTCCTTCTCCACGAATATATCTGTGGACACTTAGGTTGTTTGCATATCTTGGCTAATGTAAATAAGGCTGCTCTGACTATGGGGGTAACTGTACCTTTTTGAATTAGTGTTTTTTGTATTCTTTAGATAAATATCCAGAAGTAGAACAGCTGGATCATATGGTAATTCTATTTTCAGTTTTTTGAGGAACCTTCATACAATTTCCCATAGTGGCTGTACCAGTTTAAATTCCTGCCAGCAATGCATAAGGAGTCTCATTTCTCTGTGAAAGTGAAAGTGAAGTTGCTCAGTCGTATCCGACTCTTTGTGACCCCATGGACTGTAGCCTACCAGGTTCCTCCTTCCATGGGATTTTCCAGGCAAGAATACTGGAGTGGGTTGCCATTTCCTTCTCCAGGAGATCTTCCCGACCCAGGGATTGAACCTGGGTTTCCCGCATTGTAGGCAGACGCTTTACTGTCTGACCCACCAGGGAAGCTCTCATTTCTCTGTATCCTTGCCCAAAATAGTATTTTTTGTTCAGAGTAATTTGGACAGATGTGAGGTAATATCTCAGTATGGTTTTGATCTGCATTTTCCTGATGATTAATGAGGTTGAGCATCTTTGCATGTGCCTGTTGGCCATCTGTGTGTTGATTCTGGAAAAATGTTAAGGTTCTCTGCCCATTGTTTAATTGTTTTTTTTTTTTTTTGAGTTGTATGAATTCTTTGTATATTTCGTTGACACCTTATCAGAAATATTGTTTGCCAATACCTCTCCCATTTTGTAGGCTGCCTTTTCACATTGTTGATGGTTTCCTTTGATGTACAGAAGCTTTTTAGTTTGATCTGATTCCCTTATTTATTTTTGCTTTTTTTGTCTTTGATTGTTGAAGTCAGATCCAAAACATCACTGCCAAGACTGATGTCAAGTTGCTCACTACCTATGTTTTCAACTGAGTTTATTTTATTTTTTTTTTCATTTATTTTTATTAGTTGGAGGCTAATTACTTTACATCATTGCAGTGGTTTTTGTCATACATTGAAATGAATTAGCCATGGATTTACATGTATTCCCCATCCTGGTCCCCCCTCCCACCTCCCTCTCCACCCGATCCCTCTGGGTCTTCCCTCAAGCAACTCCTCCAGCTCAACTCCAGAAAAATAAATGACCCAATCAAAAAATGGGCCAAAGAACTGAACAGACATTTCTCCAAGGAAGACATACAGATGGCTAACAAACACATGAAAAGATGCTCAACATCAACTGAGTTTATGATTTCAGATCTTACATTCTAGACTTTGATCCATTTTCAGCTAATTTTTATGTATAGTAAGTAAGTAAGATAGTGATCATTTTGTTCATTTGTACGTGCCTCTCCAGTTTTCTCAACACCATTTATTGAAGAGATTGTCCTTTCCCCATTGTGTGATCGTGCCTCCTTTTGATTGACCATATATTCATAGGCTTATTTATGAGCTTAAACACTTTTAAATGATAGTAATGAAAAATAA